TTAGTACATTTTTATTTGTTTTGTCTATTAACTTATATGTATAAGCATTTGAAGAAAGAATTTCATTCGCTTACATTTTACATTCGCTTCTATCACATATATTTATTTTTATATATATTTTCCCGAATTATATGTGTTAAGTACATATAATTCGGGAAAATATATTTTTTTTATAAAGTTTAAAGGTAAAATAACGTTGTACCCAGGTACCAACCGTTCACATAAGTACCTATACATGTATCGAAATAAAAGTTGATTTTCTAAAACCAACTCTTGTATTTGTGTGCAGCAACAGTGCGACCAAGTAAGTATATGCTGCATTAGCTCCGTTATTGTAGGAATTAGGAAAACTAAAAAAAATTAGGGACTGATGAGTTAATTGTTATTATTATTATTATTGAATTATTCCTAGATATTTAATGTGCATCGTAGGTTTTATACGAGTCCAACTTGTTTTATTATTGGATTTTCCTTTCACCATTCACCCATATACATAAAGGGTTGTTAGGGTTTATACCGAGTAATTCAAGAAAAATCATAAGAAATCAGGGGTTCATTTGACACTATAGGAAGCGACTTGCAAATGTAATCTTCCAAATTATCTAGTATGTTTTCTAGTTTTAATAACAATAAAATATATAGGGCGAGAAAAACATCTACTTACACTTTTCTTAAAAGATAGATAAAAAAGGGGAGAATTAGTAAAAAAAACTTCAATGCGATGAAACCTACAGTATTAGCATTCAATAAAAAAGAAAATACAATGAAAATGAATTTGGGATGAAGGTCACAAGATAGAAGTTAACGAATTCAAATATCCTTTATGTATATTTAAAAGAAAAAGTGGAGAAGAGTCGCATACCAAAGATGTATGTAAAAGAGCGATAGCAACCATGACACAACTATGAAATATAGGTAAGTGGAAATTCGAAGGTGATCTTATCGTTAGTAAAAGCATGGTGATGTTTAATGTTATCGCGAAAAGTGTATGACAGAAAAAAAGACAAAGAGATAACATTATTTTGAAATAATGCAGAAAAATCATGGGATGCAAAGATAGAAAAAAACAAAATGGGGAAAACAGCGAACAAGTTTATATGAATAAAATAGTAATGGATATAACGCAATTAAGAAGGAGAGATTAAATTGGTGAAAGCATAATTGAATAAAAGAAAATTGTAGCAAGGGTTAGAACACGCAATGAATGGAAAGCAAGTACTTATTGGCTGGATGATCGCAAAAAATTATGCAGACTTTGTGAAACGATAGAAGAAACAACGGACATATTATGCAATGCAACAAAACAGATGATAGTTTGAAGGAAAAAGGGGAAAAAAGATTAGAAAAAGGAGTGGATAGGTAGAAAGTAGTGGAACTACAATTAAATATTCATTATTAATTCAATGCGAACGGTTAATTTAGAAATTCGAAAAAGGTTGTTAAAGGTGCATGTTTGGAGCACGGCGTTGTACGGGTGCGAAATGATGATGATAACGTGGATAGAAAAGATTAGAAATGAGGAAGTATTAGAAAGAATAGGAGAACAGAGAACTCTATGGAAGTCAATAAGAAATAGGCGAGATAGGTTGGTAGGACACCTTCTCAGGCATGAAGGTCTAGTCAGAGACATATTAGTGGCAGAAACGGGAGTTAGGAGGGGTAGACCCAGATTAGAATACTTTTCGCAAATAGTTAAATATGTGGGTTGTTCTAGTTTTAGAGAGATGCGAAGTTAGCTCAGGATAGGAAAGAGTGAAGGTACGTGTCCAACCAGTCTTAGGACTGACGACCTTATGATGATGATGATTAATGCAATAACTGAAAGTTGTGAGCACACTTTGTGTTCTGAAAGATAATTCAGTATATGTATTGGTATAAATAAGTTATTCTCAACAATTAGTTAAAAAAAGTAGCAATTAGCAATAAGTTTAATGTATTATTTACAAAAGCGGCTTCTTAACATTTGAATTTATTTTGAATTACTGTTGTACTCTGTTAGTCCCCACAATATACTTAAAAGCACTCTTGGTCCACCTTGTATGTATTTAAACTAGAGGAATAGGACGAATAGAATAAAAAACAAAAACTTTACTACAAACACAAAGTCGTGTTTCTTTTAATGAGATGTCAATTTTGTAAAGGTTGTCTAATGAAACAGAACTTGATGATTGTAACAATTGAATATTCATCAAATGGAGATAAAATTTATAACATTGAGTGCTGCTACCTTTTCTTAATAATAGACTATATCTTGTATGTAATATATAACTATAAATATTGGATACAGTTAAATAGCTATTTGTGAACGAAAAATTAGCGTCTGATTATTATACCTTTCATTAAAAAATAAAAAACGTTAACCGTGTAATCTGTTGAATAAATTTTTAAATCTAGACTATAAATTATAAAAGCAAAGTGAAACTCGAAAACAATCGATCCTTAGTAAATGAAGCGCTTCTATTACATTATCAGTGGGTACATAATTATTATTGAAATATTCAAAGGAGTGTTTCAACTGTTTCATTTGACATCATATTTTAATTTCCAAATGTAGCGTCTTTATCACTACTTTTGGACGTTATAGAATCCCTCTAAATAAATTACCACGCATTACAAATTGTTTCAAAGTTTGTGGTTGGTTTTTTTTATATAACACTCAAAAACATATTTCGACACGAAAATAACCTCTATGTCAAAATTTGTTGTCGTTAAGCATGAACGAAGTGCGTCTGCACGGATATCATCATTTTTTTTCTGTAATTGTCACTGCAATGAGAAGTACCTAATTTGACCAATTAATTTTTTAAATTTTAACTTTTAAACAACTTATCGAATGAAATATGTTGTACATGTGTTAATAGAGTAATCATAATGGAAAAGCCGACAAACCGAGAAACATCAATTACCCACATGTTTTAAATTTTCAAAAATTCTTTTAACTTTAACATAATGACATTTTTTTTACTATACTGTCGAAAGTACGATATATTTCCCTGATTATGTGTATAAGAAAAAAGCAAAATTTGAGGTTTAATTTCATTCTCACGCCCTGCGTGGAAGATTATACATAATATTAAAATAATCAAGGTATCTTGCCGAATATCATAGCTGGAAACAAAACTTTAGTTTGATAGTAATTGCAGAAAAAAGCGGGCATAATGCCTGCGGGCAATTTTGCCCATTTATATCCACCAGCCAGGATTTCAGAGGGTGTCAGAATCATATTTTATTATATTATTAATATACTATCAAATTAAATTTATTA